GGTTTGATACTATAAGCAAGATCATCCTTGCAAGGGCAATCATGGTTCCAAATGCTCCCCCCCACCGAACATTTCCGAAACTTTTTCAAAAGATTCAGACGTCATGTCAAACGCAGACGCGACCTATAGACACCTATATCGTGGTTGCGTTCCTGTAAATAGGCAAACAGCACTTACAGAGCTTACTTGTCTCGCCATGGTTCACGATAAATGATCCTTGACTAAAATGGTGTTCAAAGCTCGTTTTACTCCACACGACAGCAATGTAAACAAAAATGAAACGGACAGTTTGCAACACATTCGAGCGATTCACAATCTTTGCCAGGCCCGGTTCTATCTTAGAATTTGAGCGAGCCTTTGGTATGGGCTGAACAAACAAATGTTTGTCAAGAGGTTTGTTTCACAGTTTTAACTTATTCTGAGCGCGGTAAATGTGTTGAAGATATCAGATGTCAAAGATATTGCATGGACACAACGATTTTCTTGTCAACGTGCTACGTTTATACCAAAACTACCCAAAAACATACAAAAGCTTTTCAAAGCTCTTTAACCCAATAATCATTTGTGGAAACAGCTAATTGTATTTAAGTGATTGGCTGTTCTCACCTAGTAATTGAATCATCATTCGCTTGCATCCTATGGAAAGTTTAAGTTTTTGAGGTAAAGGCGAAAACTAATATCGAATTGCAGCATACTTACTTCAACAGGCTATCCTCAGCTCCCCAAGTACGACTGCAATTTTGCGTATCTCTGCTATTCATTGTGTGCATTGAAACATTGTGCATATAGGTGCCTTGCGTGAAAGCGCCTTTATGCCTTTTTTACCCATTACTTTGCTCCAGGACTGACAATTTATAGGACAATTTCGCTGCAGTTTTCGGTCATAACTATGTTTTAATCCAGTATCGTTACGTTTTTAAATTATCATCTTCCAGCAGCTTGTGTGGTTAAGCTTTCATTTGAAATGAAAACACGGTCTCAACCGGGATCGGCCGGGGACAGAAGTCTGTCCCCTAATGGTTCAGAGGCTTACCACAAACAAATGGCGGATATGCATCAATTTCGTACCCGACGGCAATTTTGCAGTTCCAAGCAGGTCACTGCACCGGCCGAGGCTAGTCTGAGGTTAATGTTTAAAAATTTGAACGTTTATAATCTGTTAAGGTATGGACTGACTTTGTGAAAATTGCTCAAGTGTTCCCGTTTTGTATTACACGTGCATTTACTGATAGCGTTAAATAATTTGAGTGTTCTTTGATCTTCAGCTTGTAATGGAATAGCTTTCAGAGAGTATTTTGGCGGTGGTTTGCCTAACTGGCAACTACCAACTTGATTGTTCTTGAGTGCGTGGGCATGTGTTCTCTGCATCATTGCCAACCGTATACATTTTTCATACGCTTTATACCTTTCAGTTCCCAAAACACTTGACCACTATCCATTTCAGTAGTTAACTACAAAGTATTTCTCAAATATGAGCTGTTATTTCAATAAGAAAGCAACAAGTTATTAATTTCTAAGTTTTATCGCTTAACTTAACCTACATCAATGAAATGGCGTACTATAACGTTTACAACTGCAAACAGTGTGCAAAAAGATTCAAGGAAATTTTGGGCTGTAGCCAAGAATGGGATCAAGGGGAGCATGTCGCCCAAGCCAGATGGCTTACGCGATGTTCTTGGTGATGTCGCAGGAATTTATTTCAAATTCGCAGGGTTTTGAAAGGAATTTGACATTTGGCCAATGTGAGAAAGATTTTGGTCGCGTGCCTTAGGTAATAGAGCCAAAAATTTTATGAGAATGTGTTGTTGCATTGCTATGGTGTGCTGGAAAATTTGTGTGGGAGTCACAAATGTCCCCCACCAGTCGGGTACGGGTACCTATACTTGAAACGAAAGCAAACGACTTAAAATGTGTTTTGTTTTAAGCCCATTGCGTCGTAACACATTACTTATATAACCTTAAATTTCGTCCCTCTTTTCTGACTTTTGACATTCCATTCCAGGTCACGCAAAAGCTACGTATACCAACCCTGCGGAGAAGTCCGGGGCAACGCCATCAGAGGGAAAAGAAGGCGCCATTTGCCTTCGCCATTTGGGAAATAAAGCTTCCCCGTCTGTGTGGATACCCATCCCTGAAGTTGTCAAACTTACAGTCGTCTTTTCATGACTCTGTCTGCCACTTGAGCCATAGCTGAATGCGCTGTCAGCGCCCAACAGGAACTGAAAACTTGCTTCCCTTAAGGTGAATATTACACACAATTGAAGATACTGAGGCAAACATCAGATAAGATGAATGTCTCAGTTGTAACCATTTGTATATAATTGCAATTAAGATCAGTTCCATGGTCTTAAGTGTAAAAGGCTGCCTTAGACCACATAATATCACTATTTAGTAAATATGTCCCTCAATACGTCATCGTTGATTGCGTTATGGAACATCTATTTACGTCAGAGTGACTGCCAGACTGGTCGTGCGAAATCGCTACCATGGTGGACGGACTCACTTATAGTACTTCAAATTGTCGAAAGACGTCGTGTTAATCGATACACTGAAGATATGAAATATCGTTCTACGCGCGAGTTTTGGCCCTTTCTCGTGGTGTTCCTGTGTCCGTGGTTTTATATTGTTCATTTGAATTCACATACTCGGTTATAGCGTTATTCCTAACTTATTCGATTGCAGCGTTATTTCAGTCAGAACTCGTATCAATGCTCCTATCCTATAAAGCATAAAACGTAACTTGTGCTCAAACTTGCATGAAACGCATCACCTTGGCCCACAGCCAGCTGAAGTCCGAATGGCTCGATGTTAATACCCGCTATGGCGTTGAGAACTATGTGTCCAGTGTGGTGGTAATGTTCATATAACGTTTCCGTTGCGTCACGCGTGCCGGGGTGACCCTGAAAAGGTCTGCACGAGATGGTTTGCGCTAGTTGGAGAGCGCCAAGCTCAGAATCAACCGACGTCTTCTTCCTCGTCAGTCAATATTACAACGTTATCACCACTTGATGCTTCTTCCACTTCTTCACTCTGTTCACGGAAATTTGCAAAAGACGAGACGTCTTCGAATCACATCAGCAAACTGAGCCTCTTGCATGAGCATGATTTGTAATGAAGCGTACGACTGTACAAAAGTTTAGGCGATTTAACTTAGAAATAAAGCTAAAGGTTTTAGAAACAGCACATGCGAAAACAAAACAAGACCCGAAGTTAACGATGGAATAGTTAAGAGGGAATGCGAAGGCGAGTATTAAAGGGAGTGCTTCACATTCATATAGGGCATTGAACTGAAAAAGTCGTCTTGAAGACCATTCAGTGCGGTTCACAGCTCTGCCCTTCTTAAGACTTAAGCCACGCTGTCTCTGAGCTACACGTCCGCGAAGATGTGGAGATTATTTTGGAGAGACTGTTCCCAGGCAACCCAGGCATCCATTATACTATAAAAACATCATTTAGAATTCACCATTCCATTGTCCGAGCTGCGATCAAGACCAAAAAAGATATAATTGCCGAGTTGTTCCTATCTGGAGTTCGTGAGCACAATTTCCAGATAAAACGTCAGTCAATTGGTTCTCAATCAATGCTGTGTAAGGCGCCATGATGCGATCAATGACGTATTGAGGAGCATATTTACTAAAACGAGAAATTTTTCTTGAGCATTCCTTTCCATTTAAAAGTGTACAAAAGGTAGAAAGGATCCCAATAAGTGAGCCTATTGTATAATACTTGATGATTACTTTAATATCTTTAAATGTGGAGCAGTTCCTTTAATAAATGGCAAGGCTTATGAGGATTAACGCAGCAGCAGTGTGTTACGTGCTCTCCTTCACCTGGATCGTATAGATCTAGGTCATGCCGCGATCGCTCTTGCCAGTCTAAACGCATCATGTCAGAGAACAGAGAACTCATGTGCGCTTAGGACCGCATCATAACCAGCGGTGGTACAGACCTGGAAGGCGTACAGGAACTCTGATCTTCAAGCAGTGTGTCGTTGGAATGCTTTCATTGCCACCACAGTATGTGACCAGGTTTACTCTTTTATTTTGAGTTTTCCACAAGCGAACAAATCACTCTGGAACCGGGCGTCCAAGCCATAGTGTAGCTGCCGTACAAAAATACTTGAAATATCACCCTGCAAATCCTACAGAAGGTTTTCTCGCCGGTACGGGGCGCCAGACGTCCTTCTATGTTGAGAGAGCGAGGAGATGACAGCTCATGTTAAATTCTCAAGGAGGTGTGGGAATCAGCCTTTCCCTCCCCCCCCCCCCCCCCCCCGTTTCCGCACCGCGATTCCTTACCATGGTGCAGCGCAAGACACATGAGGAATTTGCATAGCAGTGGTCGTTCACGAAAACGTCAGCTATTATGCGGATGATTCCATTCATTTCTTAAATAAGTGTCGGGATGAATTTGCGGCTTCGTCCTCCCACCCATGGATCAAAAATTGGTGGCGGCGCCGCTGCACCTACTCTGCCGGGTTACTGTCACACGACATGCGATCCGTATGACCTTGAACTAGATCTGAAAACTGCATGGTCGGTCTAGGCTGACCTACTGGCCCGGTCCTGACGGCCCATTAAAATCCGGATATGGAGCAGGCCACGTTCATGAACATAAGACATTACAAGAGACGATGAAAGAATGAATGCGTGCTGATGTAACATTGATACTCTGATCAACACCTCCCACTTGGAACGCATACCCTTATACACACAGACCACTACTTAACCTTATATCAATCTCACCCCTTCATGTCGTGGGCGTGTGTTACACGCGCCCAATGGAGTCACTTGTCTACTAAATGACACCATTCAGCCGCGTCCCGGGCGTACACACCCACCTCATCTCAGCGCAAGGCGCGTGCCGCCGCCGCGCCTGCTGGGGGGCGTAGGGGGAGGGGAGGGGGTTGGTGTCCTTTTACCAAGACAGCGCCGACGGACGGCGCCTGCGCGGCGGCCGCCGGTGCCGAGCGTCTCCAGTTTCGACGCGCCGCTGCCAGAGGCGCCCGCTCGTCGCCCGCGCCCGGGTGCTCACCGCTGCAGCCATGCCCGAGAAGGAGCGCAAGACCACCTTCGCCATGGAGGACCACGAGGTGGAGTTTGCGCCGCTCAACGTCGAGGACAACGGTGACGTGGACGTGAAGGCGCAGCCGGAGCGCGCTGCCTGGGGCAGCAAGTGGCAGTTCATGATGAGCTGCGTGTCGCTCTCCGTCGGCCTGGGCAACGTGTGGCGCTTCCCGTACCTGGTACAGCAGGACGGCGGAGGTGAGTGGCCCGGGGAGCGCGGGGAGGGGGGGGGGAACGTAGGGAACGACGGCCGCTCACGATCGACGTGCTCCGTCGCTGATGCGGTCTGGTCGTAACGGGCCGTTCCGCTCCCGTCCTCCGTCTACCAAACAAATGGTGTTTAAGTATTTGTTTTTCCAACGTGTCTTCTAAGTTTTAAGCATGCATTCAGTCCCCTTTGGCTTTTTGTCATCTATACTCCACACACTAATCACCGCAGAACGACCAACCACCTAGCCAGGAGCTGGGATTAAACCCAAAGTGAACAGCATGCAAACTGGTTTTGCTCTATCTCCATGTCGGCTTTCACAATCTGCCGCGCTTCTTTTGGTGCGGATGAAAACAGCACTGGATTTTATATTTCGCGCAAGGTGAATGAATTGAATTGGTTTTGCTCTTATGACCATAACGCCACAGCAAGAGAAACGCCTGCGAACGCCTCAGGCCTCATATTCCCACCTCTGCCTGCCAAAGAGCGCGAACCTCCGAATCAATCCGTCCCCAAACAAACACATCAGCCTGGCCCGACTCCTGAGCCTGCTGATGCGCAGCTCGGTGCCGAGCACGGCCCGGAGGGCAGCTGTGAGCGGCCGAACCACCGTCATTAGCCGGCTCGGGGCTGGCGCGGATGACACGCCACCTGTGTGTCCGCCTGGCGCGCCGCCGCTGCCGCCCACCCCGGGCGCTCGTGAGCGGCATACCGCCTTGCGATGATGCAATGATTTGTGGGTCACGGCTGCGAGTCAGCGACCAAGTGTCCCGCCGGGCCGGAAAGGCGGGGGTGGACGAAGAGAGGGAGGGAGGAGATAAATTGTTGGAGAGGTGTTTTGTTCGAGACGGGGAAAAGTGAGAAGTTTAGGCACACTGAAGAATAGAGAAGAGGGGAGGTCAATAGTGGGAGTGATTGAAGTTGTGTAGTGACACAAATGAAATAAAGAAAAAGGTGTTATAATAAAAGATTTAGAGACAATATATATATATATATATATATATATATATATATATATATATATATATACATTTAATGTATATGCATATGTATGTATCTTGCATACATGCATATGTGGATACGCTTAAGGACAGAGTGAAGGAGGCCTCAAGGCATGCGACAAAGTGGTTTCAAATCGGAATTTTTCTTTGCATCTGTTTTTGTCTGACAAGTGTGCCGGTGTGTACCTTCCCACGCTATGCAGCCCCATCTACATAAAGCCCGGGCCGCAGATTCTCTTAAGCGCCGACGGTGAACATGACGGCATCCTCAAACACAGCCCAGATCGCGGCGGGCCGTCGGAAACGCGCCACTACCGCCTCGGGCGCTAGAGGCCCATTTCCGGGTGTCTCTGGAGCCGGCGCCGGAAGCGACAGGCGAGCTGCCGTTCTCCAGTATCAGTGCACCACTGCTGTGATGTCATCCGACTACATTCCCCGGACCGCCCCCCGGCCGGTCCGCCCTCCTCCCCCCCCCCCCCTGCCGGCGGGGCCGATACGCCCAGAAGGCTGGACAGTGTTGTAACCGCCAGCCGCGGCTGAGTGACCAGCGTCTGGCACTCCCGTCCATGGTCGGCTAGTCGGCATGCTGCTGGAAAGCACTCACGTCCTGAATGCGCCGTCATATCGGCTGATGCTGCCTTTCAGTGGAATGCTGCAAGATTTTGCGTCAAGACGCTATAGTCTAGCGCCAACGGCAATTCTAAATGCTAAACAACATTATTACAAAGCGCGCATTTGCATTGCGCATCGACGGGCGCATAAAACCTCGTTCTTGACATGCCATAAATGAGGTACGAAACATATTGAAAAACTTGATTATTTGGTGAGTTTGACATGCATCTACGCACGTACTTCCGGGCTACAGCTGACCGCAACGCCTCGTCTACGGCACTCAGTGCTAGCAAGGCCGCGACGTTTTCCCGAATTCAATCTAAATTTCATCTGACTGATATCTGCGAGGCAGTCCGCTGCTCAGGCCTGCTGGCCGGGCCCGCTGCTCCGGACCTGAGTCAGGTCGCACCCCGTGTCTGGCCAGAGTGATTTCTGGGTAAACAGAGCGCGCCAGACCCTCGCAGCAGTGCATTCCGCCTAAAACCGACGTGGTGACGCCGTCAGTACTTATCACCGGTGCAGGGTCCGCTGGAAGGGTCAGATTTCGTGTCGACTCGCTGTCGCGCGGGCGGACAAATGGTGGACGGGAGGTAGATTGTGCCGCCTGGCGCATGCGTCTGGCGGAACAGCATAGGCATGCGCCAGGCGGCAGGCATGCGCGAGACTGAGATCATGGAGGGGAAGCAGTGGTAGTCACGGACGCGTTCGCACCCAAATTGTGTGGGTGGAACTGATCATTCGGTCGGCTTTTAGTGAAACATCATAAATGCTATCTGTTTTCCAGTTATATAATTTATAAAATGGGTGGTGCAGTGGGCAAAAATTACTGGCATCATCACGAGTCAAAAGTGTCGATGCAGTGTCTCATTTCTTAACATAACTTAACTTTCATTTTCTTGTCACGGTCGGTGTATCACGCTGGTTGGAAAAAAACTTACTTTTTCATCATGTGAAGGAAGCCATTTCGTTTGGAGATGGTTTGACAAGAACTTTGTTCACCTCAAAGGGAATCAGCCTCAGAAACTGGTTCTTGCGATTCACGCGATTAATTGGGTGCTTCCTTACCCGATGCGTGGAAGTTTCTCACCAGGTGGTTTCTCTTTGCTCAGTAAGAAGCCTATAAAACTTCTGATCTGTACATAAGTCCTGATGGACGAGCATGGACTAGACTAGTGCCACAGCAGGACACCGTCATCAATGCAATAATGTAGTCTTTAGCACGGTTTTAGTACGGTTTGAAATGAATCACAAAAATTGCAACGCCTCGGTCGTTTGGATTGTTTGAGCTTGTTGTTTGTTATGTTAATTGTTTGAGTCTGTAGACTGTTTGAGCAAGCTGAGCTTGGCAAGCTGCCTGAGGAAAAGGACTTACTGTCTGTTAAAGTAAAAGTACGGTTATAAAGTTTTTATGTTTCCAATGTCCTGTCAGGGGCCTACGTTAAAAAGTTAGTTTTGAGTTAATGCCGTGTCAAGTTATGACATCTTCTCCATATATGAAATGAATCCTTCCCCTTGCCTTAAGTTTTAAGTTGTAGCCGTAATGCTTCAGGCCAATTTTGACATTTATGGTGGTGGTACTGCCATTACTGGTGTGTTAGAGTCTAGCGTTACGGCTAACTGTTGAGTGCAAAGGTCGCAAAATGTAGATCGGATGATTAGAAGCTCATTTAATTGAAATTTTTTCCGCAATCAGCATCATCCTTTCGTTTCTAGGAACATGAAGTTAAAAAACCATGTCGGTGTAAAGCCTCTTAAACGCGCTGATATTGCCGGTATCATGGAATGGAAGTTGCTGCCCTAAGTTGACGACATTTGTTGATTGCTTTTGATCCTTTGATAACAGCATTGTAAAACATGTGTTCGCTGAACGCTTGATCTTTTCAAAAGGGGCATGGTGAAGCATGTGGTCCCTGACCTTTTTTGATCTGCTCAAGAAGTACCATGGCAAAGCATCCGTATGTTGATTTTTGTCACTTTCAAAATAATATTTATCTACCTAATGCTTAACAGCAGTTGTTTTACACAACTTAATGCCGTTTTATTCCTGCCAGAACAGAATGCGCCGCGCGCGCTCATGCATGCTTTTGTAGAGATACGTTAACGAACATGACACAAACGGGATTTGAACCTGGGCCTCTCGTACTAGCCGAAGGCGCTTTCCGCGCGGCCATTTCAACCCCAAGCTTGTCGGGCCCTCTTGATCGGTTCAAGAATCACCATTGCTATGAATGTATTTTGTTGGTTGCTATTGATCTCGTTGAAAAGCACCGTTGCAAAAAGTATGCGTGACGAAATGACAATGCACGGGTCCTGTCGCGCGCGAACCGAAGATCATCACTGAAGCGGGCGGTTCATTCGCCCATGATGACCCCGCCGCTGGCCCCTCCTGTGAGGCCGGGCATCAGCGCCTCGTGCGAGGAGGGGCCCCCTATTGCCGTGTCGGTCCGCACACTGTCTGTATTATCATTGACCGCTTGCCAGCACGGCCCTTCGGTTAAAAATAATACCGGTCAATCAGCTGGCCATGTGGAGGGCCAAGTCTCTGTATCGGTACGACCGTCTGCAACGAGGCAGGCTTGGCACCGAGGGGAATTTCGTGGCCGTGATGGTCACGATACTGAAGGCCAAAGATGCTGTCTAAGGATGATGTAGTTCGCGTGCTGTTCTTGCTTCTGGCGGGCAGTCGCTGGCGGGGAAAGGTATGAAAGGTTGCAGCATTTTACAGTATGTTTTTACCCAATTTCATGGCTTAACCCAGCCAGCCAGTTCCTTCGGGAAATGTTGGGGAAGGTTGGGGGGAAACTTGGTAAACCCCAAGTTTATTCTAGGAAACGCTCGGAAACGCATGGGGCTCCAAAGCTTTCCCACATCAAGCGCCTGCTGTCGGCTCTTTTTAGGGAAATTTGGAACCTCCACAAGCCTCTCCAATGCCCTGATTTGGTCTGTGCAAGGGAAAGTCATTTTTCAGGGTGTAATTACCACAGACAGCACGGAGAACGTTTCCGATTCCCTAACCGGTCGTATGAAGAAAGGTTGGCAAATCCCAATGGGGGATAGGACATTTTTTCCGGATGTGGCCGTCAAAGGCAGCTCGGAGAATGATCCGGACATTTCTCTTGGGAAAATATTGGGAAAATATCTCAGAATAAGTTAGGAATCAAAACCAATGTCTCATTTCTTTAATTGATCCAAGCCCACAAGCAGAAACAACGGTCGGAATATTCCAGTTGGGATGAGAACGGAATGGCTGGCGGGGAAAGAGGACTGAAATTTAGCTAATTATTTACGTTGTAATGAAATATAAGTCATGTTCCTCGCCAAAGTTTCTTGTTATATATTCCCTTGAACGTAGACGGCGTGCTAAACCAGTTTGTATCACAAAAACTTCTGGGAACTGAAAATTCAGGGGCGATGTGCTGTCTCAGTGGTCAGGGCTCTTGGCTACCACGTAGACCACCGGGCTGAAATTCCACTTAGACCATGGACACTGGTCCCGAAAGGACTTCTGCAGTCGTAGACAAGCCATGAATGATGTGCGATGAGTTACGTCACGTTGTTGGCATCGCTTTCGTCACCGTCGTGGCGTGCTATCATTTTTTTCCATTTTGCGTTCCGCCATCATGCTATCGACTACCGCTACCATAATTGGCAGTACAAATCTGTGGTATTCGCACACCATAAAGCTCTTGATGTGTCAATGTCTTAGCTCTGAACAGTTTTGAAAGCGTATTTTATTAACCAGTAACAAAAATCAACATGTCAAAAAATAATGAGCATATAGCGCAGCTTTCGGTGAATTCCGGCAACCACCAATTTTTAACTCGTCCAATATCTTAAACGTGCCATGAAGGCTTCACCATGGCTTATCATAACGTTTAGCGGAAACAATTCAGTTAGGTCTAAAGACCCCCACTTATAGCCGAACATAGCGCGCGGCCTTACCGAATCCCACACTAAGAGAGGAGTAATAGCCTTATGCCTGGGAGAAAAACCAGGACAATGGAGATAATGATACATTGATATTTCGGGGGCATGCGTTTAGCAGTTTATCTATATTATGTAGTATTATGTATATATACATATGCGTGTGTATGTATATGTGCATCGCATTTTCTAACCGTGAAGTAGGTTGTGTTGAGTTTCTCTAATGTTCAGTATGCGTCCATAGTTGCGGTTACAGGATACACCAACCTCATACTTTATCTCTGTTGACCGTCAGGATCACGAATGGACTAAGCAAGCATGTGACTTATCTTGTCTAACTAAAATTTATGAGATTGGAAACGGTCTAAAACTGGAAACCCACTCGTTGTTTTTGTATGGCACCGTAAACAAATCGCAACAAGCGCATGCTAGGGAACATCTGGTCAAGCATTACTTTTCATTCGTCAGAACAACATTTTCCCCTAGATGTGCCGATTTAGGGTGTACGGTTCGATTAACTGAGCCAAGAGCGTATGCCATATCCACGAAAACCTACCAAACTTGAGCGCTGTCTATAATCTGCGCTATCTCTGTAGCTCAAACGTGCTAGCTAAAACATCGTGGTTTTCTAACTCAAATAATTGCTCTCATTATGAATACTGTAGTTTTGCTCGCAGTTTTTATTTTCACCTCAGTTTATTACGTACGCGCAGTAGATTCATTATTTCCGTGTGTTTTAACAGCTTTCTTCGTTTGCTTCAAGTGCTGAAACTGGAGAAGTTTAGAAGGTGCAAATAATCTGAACATTACAACTGCGTCGCTGCTAATGACGCGAGAGAAGCTCCCATCATTGCCCTAACCATCTCACTAGTGACGATGCTTTGACGTCTGTCGCGTCGCCAGGTGCGTTCCTGATCCCCTACATCGTGATGATGGTGCTGGAGGGGGCGCCGATCTTCCTGATCGAGCTCGGCATCGGTCAGCGGCTGCGGCAGGGCTCCCTCGGCGTGTGGAACACCATCCACCCCTGGACGGCCGGCATCGGCGTCGCCTCCACCATCGTCTCCTTCCTCGTCGGCCTATACTACTAACGTCATCATCGCTTGGTGCTTCTACTATCTCTTCAACTCGTTCACGGTAAGCTGCGGAAGGCCTCGGGCCGCATCGGCAAAATGAGCCTCGTGCGCAAGAATGGTTTGTACGGAAGTGTACGATTGTACAAAAGTTAAGGCGGCTAAAGTTAAGTTTAAAACAAACCCCATGTCTTCCTGCTGGCAGCACACACAAAAACAAAACGAGGCCCGAGCGTTATAATGAAATAGTGAAGAGCGGGTGCGAAAGCGAAAGCATTTACGGAAGTCAAGAGACCAGATATGGTGATCACCGATAGTTCACGTGATAAGTCACAGTAAGTAGCTACGATATGTTTATGAAATGGTGGCCATGGTGGCAACGCTAAGTGCACGTGCAAAGGGCAAAGTTCAGTGCCACAACCGAATCGCACATTCCTGGCGATGTAAGCGCAAAGTTTTGCAGACGGGCTGCTTACACGTGCTTGCTGAAGCGTTTAGCTGCTCATAACTCGGTGGACATACCGTGATCAGATCGTTTAAGGGGCATTCAGCGGTATTCTACTTCGTTCGTTTCACCAGTCCGGTCCGTTGCCCTGAGATGTCTCGTATTATCGCTCTTCCTGTCAAGAACTAAACGAGCTTTCCTGCATATGAGGTCGAAATCAAACTGTCCGCACCGTTCCTAGACAAGTGAGTCCGAATTGAAACACAAAGAGCATTTTCCGAGATAAATTTTCCAAAGCCTTAAACCTATGTTTCAATATACGTTCTATCGTTTTTCCTTTTCCCAGTCGTTGTGGCGTTTTTCCATGTTTGCTGAGGGGAGTAATGCCATCATTTTACAAGATGTTTATATAACGCACTTGAGGTTCAGTTCCGTTTACGAAATAGCCATTTCTTACCTAGCTGGTCTCATTATATCAGCTTGGTAAGCAATACGCTGGTAATATGTATGACAATATAGCAATATATAGTAAGACGCTGGCAACCTGTATGGCAATATAACAATACCATAGCAATATGTATACCAATATAGCAATACGCTAACAATATGCATAGCAATATAACAATTTATAGCAGCATGTATAACATTATGATAATTTACAGCAATATAACAATACGCATAATAGTGCATTTAAATCAAAGAAAGTAGCTCCAAACCTTCCATATGACATGTATTTTGTCACAGCCATTCTGGCTGTGAATTTGTGTGCTGGAGATAAACGCCGCCAGGGAGGCGCGCGGATAAAGTCCCAATGCTTCAATGCGGCGAATCTGGGCGTTTGTGGAGCTGGAAACCTCGACGATTTGGGCGGAAGCGACTTTCGGCAGAGCTTATAGGTTCGTCACAGCTGCGATCAAGCTTTATGAAATTGGAAATAAATAGGATACAAGTGTCTGCCGGTGTCTTGCTTACGCGACGTTCTTGTGCGTTGTCATAACATTAAAAGTCGTTGTGGTGTCGATCGTTCATTCCGCTGAAATTTTGTAACACACGCGAGAGTTGGGACCACCTTCTAAGGCCTAGCCCAATCGTTCGTTTCGGCGAGTTTTTGGAACGGTGTCCCAAAAACGAGACTTTCCCTTAAGGCATGAATTGTTTGTGGGACCAGCTTAATAGCATCGGTGGTCGGAAATATCGGCTTATTAGTGCTTTTCATATGAGATTAACGAGTCTGACATTGAATCGGCGCGGTAGATAGTGTGTCCACTAAGTCACGATTAGGTCATTACCTACTTCAAGCAAATTGCGAGTCTCGTCAGCCTGCATTTACACGCTGGCCAAGGCATTGAAATAACCTTTGCCGATTTACCGTACGTTGAACTGTAGTCCCCATTTCCCCCACGAACTGATTTCACCCATTCTAACCTACGATTATGCATGACGTACAATCATAAGAAGCATGACGATTGCACATAAGCTACATGACGTACAATCTCGGGTTTCGGCCAAGAACAACAGAAGGTTTTTGTCAATTAAGTTTGTCCTTGGATCAGGAGGTATCATAATTCGATCCATCCTCAGGAGGAAAAAGACCTGGAAAGGTTGGGAGACACTGGGCTCTGCGTTATCGTAAGCCAAATAAGTGGTGGGAACTACCTTACATTATGTATAAGCATTTAAGATTTTGACGAAATCTAGAACCAAATAGGATTACTTTGAATATGTTAGAACAAAAAGAAAGCGATTTCAAAAGGACGGTTCAACTCCAAAAACCATAGGCTGTTTTCATTACGCTATTTGCTACTTTAAACGGAAGGGAACCGCGACCCTTGCGTTGCAGCCATGTGCCGCACTGATGTATGCGAACTGGTTTTTGTTTTGTGTGAGTGCATTTAGTCCTATGATGAAATGTAATCATGTTGTTATTCAGCGTTCCCCGGGCATCCTGCTCACTTCCAAAGCCAAGATGTTTTACAAGTATTCAAATACCAAGCATCGAGATGCAGATTCTTGGGCAGCAAACCCATGTATGCTCACCCACTGAAGTCTACCACGGTATCCTTTACAGCAGGGACGACTGACTGACCGGCTCCAATCCCTACGTCGCCAGAATCCGCTGCCGTTCGCCGTGTGCCCGACCGAGGGACCGAACAACACGGTGGTGGCCGAGTGTGCCATGTCCTCGGAGACGGCCTACTTCTGGTACCGCAACGCCATCGACGCGTCGTCGGCAATCGACGACCCTCAGGGCATCAAGTGGTGGATGGCACTCTGTCTGCTGCTCTCCTGGGGCGTCGTCTACGCCTGCATCATGCGGGGCATCCAGTCGTCAGGCAAGGTACGTCTGGCGCGACGCGGGCAGTGGCGGCGGTGCGGCACCGCTGGGCGGGAGAAGCAGCCCTAGCATGCTCCGCGCTGGTGTTGAGATGCTTTCCGGCGCATTTTGTACGCTGAGATGGGATTGGAGTTGCACGCAGCTCTATGAGGATAAGAGCCAGCAACGTAAAACTCGGTCGAAGAGTCGCATATGGCGATTTATTTTCTTGTCGATCACATGTCTGAGGCTGCTTGGTTTAACTAGTTTAACTAGCTCGGTTTAACTGCTATAGGCTGGGATGTTAAGCACAGGCTGTTGCCAGACATCCCCAGGCACCGTCTGCGGACGTGAATAATGCAGGAGCAAGTTAAGCGCAACATTTTCGTCTTAATTGGCTTAATTGGTTTCGTTTTAATTGGTTTTGATTATGCACCTGCACATTGTGTCGTGTCTCTTTGATCTTACATCAGCACACATACCTGAGATATGCACCGTAAAACAAATATCGTTGTGGCGCTATAAGTTTCTTGCTGCTGGTAAATTGTCTCGTCGCATTAAGCACAGACGGCTGTTCGTTTCGCCAGAGGTACCTTCCCATTACGATAGGATAATTCGCCCGTTTGTCCGCTCGCAGGTGGTCTACTTCACGGCGCTGTTCCCGTACTTGATCCTGATTATCTTCTTCGGCCGAGCGGTAACCCTGCCGGGCGCAGGTGTCGGGCTGGCGCACCTCTTCACTCCCAAGGTATTTGGTCATGCGTCGAAGCAAGGCAGGCGCCACTGTGCGTGTTTGTTTTGCGTTATAGCCCCAAATTATGACATTTTGCGCACAAGAAGCATTTTGGTTTGAAATGTTCCAACTCACTTCCGCTTTCGCGTGGGGGTAAACTGGGTGGGTCGTGGATCAATTCAGGACTGGTGGTTGGCCCCTTGTAACTGCTCCCCGCCGGTGAACGCCACGCTGACTCAACGTCGACGTTGGCCGCCTCCCAGAGAAATTTCTCGGCAAAAACCGGTCGAAAGTCGCCTGTTCGGAGCGGCACGGCGGCCCGACGCTAATTTTAGCCGCGCCGGCGGCCGGTCGCGCCCGCCGCCGCGGGCGATTGGGGTCAGTCACGTGCACACCCAGCAGAACTGCCACTCGCCGGCCCCGACGGCCGCCTCACCGCGGCCGCGTACACCGAGGCGGACCCCGTGCGTAGTGTCAACACGCCTGGTCGGCCGCCAGCCTCGGACAGCGGCACCCCTGGGGGGCGGGGAGGGGTGGGCATCACCAGGAACCACCGGCACGCCGCCGCCAACACAGCCCCACGCCGGCCTCGTTGGGGAGCGCCGCCGCGAAGCCCGGCGGTGCCTCTAACGCGCCAGGCTGGCAACATGGCCAACGCCAACTCAAACACAGCCCAGTATATCGCCACTCCGTCACATTGCCAACCTGGCTTACAACACTAACGGGTTCAGTACAGCGCCAGCGGGTCCGTCCAGCGATCGATGAGTATGCCGAAGCTCCGACGATGCATTCAAGTCGCCGCGCTATCGCATTCCTCAACGCTCTCACAGTCGACGCATTGACAAACGCATCACATTGAAACACGCACGTTTAGAAGCAGCGCCACAGCAAGTACATTGATACTTCACCAGAATAGCGAGCCCTCCACACCTGGGAGTTCCGCCGCGCGGCCTGACTTACGAACGGCGTTTACAGTGCTCGCACGTCCGCAGATGGAGAAGCTGATCGAGCCCACGGTGTGGATGGACGCCGCGACGCAGGTGTTCTACTCGCTCGGGCTCGGCTTCGGCTCTCTGATCGCTTTCGCTTCATACAACCCGGTGAAGAACAACTGCAAGCAGGATGCCGTCTTCATGTGCTTCGTGACAGTCTTCACGGCCACCTTCGGCGCCGTCGACATCTTCGCCGTGCTTGGATACAAGGCCGTTCAGAACTACAACAAGTGCATTGCCCAGTGAGTGACTGTGAGAGTATACGTGAGTCTCCTAGAGTGCGTATAACGTTACTGGCTGATGCTCTGCGCCATATCTTATTAGTACGCACAATTTACGCAGAATGCAATGATAATTTGTGTTCTGTGTGTAGACGATGCACGTGGTTCGTAAGATGTGCTATTTTAGCAGGAATGTTGCTGTTAACATAGGCCTCCTGTTCTCATTCGAAGTGAGCGCCTGACGCATGCAACAAGTCACTGGAGTTATCCTCCGTTGTAATGTCGGGGGGTTATTGCAACACCGCCGACGCTTACTGGCCGTCCAACGTCATACGTCGCCTTCAAGAATCCCAGCTTACAAGCGACACAGTGCGGTCCAGCGCGGTCACTGCCAAAGAACCACTGGTCGTCTGTTTAGGAAAGGTCGCCCAAACCCTCAGTTCCAACGTCGGTCCTAAGAAGCAGTGGGCACAGAGCTTAACTAATGCTGGTCTCACGCGATACGGCTTCGTTCCAGTAACGTGGAGAAACTGGCTGTCGTGTACCCGGAGCAGTTCTTTGTGAACATGACGTCAGAGGCGTACGAGGGAATGCTGGGGCACCACGCGTTCGTCAACGAGAGTCGCCAGGCCCTGGGACTGCTGCACTGTGATCTCCACGAGACCCTCGACCAGGCGAGTGTTGCCATCCCGGCTCTGAGTTTGAGCCCTTAGGAGTTAGGCCCTCTCTGAAGCTTCACATGAGGTCAATGTGACGTCACTAGGTGGTGTGATCTCACCGGTGCCGTGAGCCAAGTTGATCTCGAACGAGTTTGGCGCCTAAAAAAAAGAATCTGACGCACGTCGTCGCGCATCCTTTTGTGGGGCGCCAGCGACTGTAAAGGTCATGTTAACGCTCAGATGCCTTGGCGCAACCCGGGTTCAAACCCAAGCCCTAACGTATGAACCGAAGGCGCTAACCACCCGGCCAATACGCCACGTTTTGATTTCGTTGTTCTATCTTTCGTCTGTCGGAGAGTGGGATATCTCAACCAAGTTAGATATCCCCATATCTTACGTCACTGTAAGCACGTTTCCGTCCTCTCCGTCTGCGTAGTAAGCCAGGAGGCTATTTGCTTTCTTTTCCCTAATACAATGCATTCACATACTGGCTCGCACCTCATCACCAGGCGGCCGAGGGAACCGGGCTGGCGTTCATCGTCTTTACCCAGGCCATCGTGGAGCTGCCCGGGTCCAACTTCTGGTCGGTGGCGTTCTTCATGATGCTGCTCGCTCTCGGCCTTGGCTCCCAGTTCGGCACGATGGAGGGTGTCATCACCAACCTCTTCGACATGAACATCCGCATCAGGAAGGAGATCCTCACCGGTAAGAGTACGGTGCTCTGAGGTGAAGGGAAAGGTGCTCGGAAGTGAAGGGAAATGTGCTCGGAAGTGAAGGCTGGTGTCTCTAAGAACGAATCGGACGTTGAGTCTGAAGGTTACAAAGACAAAATGCTGGAGAGACAGGGGAGTACCGCTCTTTACCGTCTTGGAAAGTGCATGTTGTAGTGCTCCCCCCCCCCTCCCCACTGGAAGCTGGCGGTGCTGCTTGCCGAGATGGGGAACACCGGCTTTCAGTGACAAACAGCCACATCTTCTAAGCAGTCAGAACTTCGTCTACGTCTGCCTCGTGTGGGCGAAACTTCCGAATGTCCGGCATCTCGCATATCACAAGCGCAGGAATTTCGTCATGAGTCTGTTACATCCGTGTGGGAAAAATTTTGTCAACACATGCCAATTCCGTAGGAACTGCACCAATTCCTACGGAATTGGCATGTGTTGACCGGTCATTGACCGTTTGTGTGCAAACCTTAGACAAGCATGCCATTTTGTCGGCACTGCACTTTAACCAGCCAGTACACCGCTTGCCAATCATCAACGCCGTGCCGTTGTCGGCAGGCATCGTGTGCACCTGCTGAACGCCGTGCCGTTGTCGGCAGGCATCGTGTGCATCTGTTGAACGCCGTGCCGTTGTCGGCAGGCATCGTGTGCACCTGCTGAACGCCGTGCCGTTGTCGGCGGGCATCGTGTGCATCTGTTGAACGCCGTGCCGTTGTCGGCAGGTATCGTGTGCACCTGCTGTTTCCTGATCGGCTTGATCTTCACCACCGGAGCCGGTGAATACTGGCTGAAGACTTTCGACGCCTTCGCCGGCACCGTAGGCCTGGTGGTGGTCGGATTCTTCGAGCTCGTCATCGTCATGTACGTCTACGGCCACAGAAAGTGAGTACCGAAGATTTAACTGAGAGATGTAGAGGGAATAACTGCAGTGCAGCACCGCGCAAGCAATGTAACTAACTGTTCATGCACGAGTCATCGTGCAATCTTTCGCCATCAATTGCATAAGGTTGCGGCAGTAAGATAGCATGGAGAAATAAATCTTGAAAGAATGGCAACGTTACTGCCATGGATACGATGCGTTTTACTTTACGATCCCTGGTGTGTTTGGACCGTCTCAGATGAACAAAGTGCGAACGTACTTAAATAAGGAACTATTTTTGCGCGCGACCTAATGTAAACTACACAGTGTGCAGCCAGATGGAAAGGTGACGTCCAACACGTGAGTGCCGTGAATAAAATTAACGGGGTGCCGTCGGAAACAAACAACTGCCATACGAGAAGAGCACCAAGAAATATCTTCGAGTACAGCGTTGTGCTACAGCTGTCATGTCATCGAGTCCCCGACCTGTCCCGGCTGACGGTCTGACTGATATCCGCCCTCGTGACAGGTTCACGGACGACGTCGAGCACATGACGGGCAGTCGGCCCGGCATCTACTGGCAGGTGTGCTGGCGCTTTGTGGCGCCTGTGCTCATCGTGGTCATTTTCGTCGCCAGCGTGATCTTCCAGATCAAGAACCCACCCACCTACACCATCTGGAACGCCGTTGAGGTACTGAGAGCATGCGAAAACGGATTTTCCCCGGAGAGAGAGGAGCATCAATCGGCCCGATGTCCTTTGTGCGAGAATCACACGGGGATCTCATGTTCAGTTGTGGCCGGCATTTTAATTGTTTGAAATAGTCCCATATCATTTTCTCTTAAAATGCTTTGTCCATATTATGATGCCTCGTTATTCTCAAGAATGCCGTACTCGATATCGATTGACAATACTTCCGTCCTCCATATATTGCTTTTATTTCTTACGATGTTGGGCATTCTTATTACCTACCATGTGGTGAATACCAGGCGTCTATCTGTTTGAGAATGTTGCTGAGCTGGGACATCGTAAATATAAAAAATAATATTCCAACGAGCTTGTTTATATTCAACGAAAGCGTTCGGAACGATTTCAAGCCCTTCTGCTACCTTGGTCAACAATATCTTTGCCTGACCAGGGCTGCAGAGATTTTCCCGAAAGCTTCCGTTGAAGATAAGCAAGCTGGTTGAATATTAGCTTTTTACATATGCGTTTATCACAGCTCAAGTTAGTGCTTTGGGGCGGTTCAACACAAAGTTTGGAATCCAATGTGTCCTCAAAGAACTTCCTACCAGTTCTATGCTCAGTTTCCTGGTGCTGCAGTTTTATTCATCAATTCAGTTACTTTTCCCAGTATTCTATCGACTGTCTTGACGGCACACGATTGCCTCGGAACTCTAGCTTACTTCTTTTCACCCTGTCAGTCAGGACTGACGCCAGACTGAGCGTCAGATTTCCTGCGAACCGCAGTCCCAGTATTTGATTCACGTCGATCAGAACCGCGGAAGCTATAACGAGTACCACCTCGTCCAAAGCCGGCGCCCGGGTGGCGCCCGCACCGCCGGCGCTTCCCCCGGGGCGGGGCTTCGCCGGTCCAGGCGTGACCGGTCGATGACCTCGCCGGTCCAGCCGTGACCGGCCGATGACCTCGCCGGTCCAGCCGTGACCAGCTGGTGACCTCGCCGGTCCATGCGTGACCGGCCGATGACCTCACCGCTCCAGGCGTGACCGGCCGATGACCTCGCCGGTCCAGGCGTGACCGGTCGGTGACCTCGCCGGTCCAGGCGTGACCGGCCGATGACCTCGCCGCTCAAGGCGTGACCGGCCGATGACCTCGCCGGTCCAGGCGTGACCGGCCGATGACCTCGCCGCTCCAGGCGTGACCGGTCGGTGACCTCGCCTCACCCACAGGCGATTCCCGAGTCGCGCTTCTACCCTGGCCCGGTGATGGCCATCGCCGTCATGCTGATGCTGGCCGGCACGCTGCCCATCCCCATCGTCTTCCTGCTGCGCCGCTTCCAGTGTGTGAAGCTGGACACCGACATACACCAGGCCAGCATCAAGCGGATAGACACGACCGCCTCCACCACGGGCATGGTGCGGGAGGCTGAGGTACGTGCAGCCGGACAGCGTGCCTCTCCCCCTCCCCGCGTGTGCCGTGGGCCGCTGACCTGGGCCGGTGTTGTGGGCCGCGGGCGTGGGTCAGAGCCCGGGGCCCAGGTGTGACCGCCGCCGGGGGTGTCCGGCGCCCCCTGGTGCGCTGTGCCGTAGACGGCATGTCCAAGCTTGCCCTGCCACCGACCGTCAGGCCTCATTGTCCCTGTTGACCGCTTTGGAAGGTTGTGAAGGTGTTCGTAGGGAAATCGGTTGCGGGAAGGAGGACGGACGTCAACCCCATGCTTTCATGCTTTATGCTCGTTCATTCATTCACCACGCCGTTTGACGATATGACTAACGGCACGGCAGCCAATGACAATCATTATTTCAAATAACACCAGAGTCTCTCGAATTGTTCAAGTCGAATGGATAGTAATGCCGACTTTTGTAATTGTACGTAATTGTAATTGTAATTGTAATTGTAACTGAACGCTACCGGAAGACGATCATAGGAGCGCCCACAGAGGCTATTTGAGATGCCCGAGGCCGCTCTCGAGCCCGTCTCCTCTTTCAGCCCATGGCGCGCCAGGACTCCCGGGGCTACCTGTGGACCAAGCTGGCTGACTTATCAAAGCGCTCCCCTGACGCATAAACGGGCTGGCGGCGGGTAGGGGTGTGGTGCCCTCTTCTGTGTCGAGGGCGGCGTTCACACGAGACGCGGCGCCGATCCTGTCCCTGTCCGTTACTCACCCCTCTGCTCTCAGCCGACACCGCCTTGCACGGGGCAGGGTCGGGCTGGGGCAGCGCTTGGAAGGCATCTCAGGCTTCTGATAGTGGAATGCGTACGAAATAGTCGTTTTCCAATTTTTTTTAGACGAGATGACCGGAGAGGTCGAAGAATTGTTGAGTCAGCGTTTTCGTTAATGGCATTTCTAGTTACAAAATTTGTATAACGGGGTGGCCGGAGAGGTCGAGTAATGACTTGGTTAGTGTCCTCGTGAATGGCGTACTGGTGACAAAATTGGTACGTACGCTGTGATGACATGCTGGTGTTAACAGCAGTCGGTGGTCAGAGAAGAAACCGATCAAAATGTCGCACACGTAACACTGTGAGGACAATGGTTCCATTCATTTGTACGTGTGGTAGATCACAAATCTGAGAAGGGTTCGCCAATGCCCATAGCTGCTCATCAGTAGGAAACATGCTCTCGCCCTAGTTTGAGGATGGGCAACGGGTCCCTGCGCGCGGGATGCGATGGACCTGCAATGAAAAGTAGTGTCATTTGTGCGTTAATTATTAATGCCTTATGCGCTCAGCTCGCGGTCTGTGTGGTGATGAGCTTGGTCATGATTAATGTTTGCCTTCAGGAACCTTTCGATCGATTTATGATAGACAAAAAGTAGTTTGTGAGTGGCAAACGATGGGCACTCAAGTCAACTTTTGCCGCACCGATTAGGAATGTCGACTTTGAACAGATGCTTTTGAAATGTCAGTCAACTGCTGATGAGACCTGGGCTCCCTGTCTTCGGTTCACATAGTAAAAGTTGATAATGCTTTATCGCGAGCAGCGGCCAAGGCTAAGGATACATCTGTAAGTGGAATACACAAGCCGTCCATTCCTACTTCCTATTTCGCATCTAGAACTGATGCAAACTGTGTCCATGTTATTGCACGCCAGGCGTTGAACGATGTTTTAAACGTCTTGTGTCGTTGTATGTCGCATGAGCTGTGCTATATACGCTCGTGTTTTTCTCAGTCGTAGTTCGATGTTGCATGGCTCTGCTTCTGCTGGATCCGCGCGTAGACCCGGCGCATATCGGTGTTACTACACGTCAAAGCACATGCTTAAATACCATGGTAGTTTTTGTTGAAGTGCATACGTGCTTAGACATTTTAAGCCGCCCATTAAAAGTGACATAAAAGTATACCAAAGTATACCAAAGTGACATCAGGCGGCGTATTAGCGTTGATAGCCTAAGCATAGGTTGTAACGTGCCGAGACGGAGAAAGACACTCCATCCCAATTTGACCGATATCTTGGTGCCTGCCTCTCACGATAACGGTCGCTGCCGCGTGGAGGCACACAGCTAGCGATGTGCCGTCCCATTTGTTTTTGCGTCGGTCGCTGTGGTAGCCATAAACACGTGCGCACCTTTCATCAAGGCTGGCTGCCACCCAGTACGGGGATCGATGCCCCACTGCCTTTATAACGATACGGCCGCCGCAGGCCTATTGATTGCGAGGAATATTTGGCCACTAGGGTGTAAGGATTTACACACTTCCGGAAAGAGCGTGCCGTGCCTTTAACATAATAATTGATGCCATTCTTTGAAGCATGCAAAGGTATTCGTGCGAATCTGGAATATTAATGATTTACACTTTTCGACGTTGGAGCTAGCAATTTAAATCTCTTTCCATTGGTTTAAAGTAGTGTTTCATATATATATATATATATATATATATATATATATATATATATATATATATATATATATATATATATATATACTTATATATATTCACATATGTGTGTATATATTTGTATAAATGCATATATAAGAGCAATGTCACGCTATTTTTACTTTTGCCAAGCAGTATACACATTACGTTCCATGTTTAGTAAATTGCTTTGGCGTCCACCATTCATTGCTTGTTTCTTTTCAGCGTTTGATTATAATGTGTATGCGCTCGCACCGTACGGAAATATTTGCAGGTTCATGTCATACTTGTTCGCCATTCTTGTCGCCTTGACCGGCCTTTCTTTGATCATCAAAAGCTGATGGGAATATGCTGCTTACAAGTTACCCTAGCTTTAGCCTGTTTTCTGAAGAAGTTCGCCTCACGTGACCATGCTAGCATGACTCTGACGCATGCTTAAGGAGCCAGAAAGAGTTGCCAAGCTCGGCGAAGTCCAGCTCGTTCGCCGATGCCTGACGCAGCGCGGTGACGTTTCAGATGAGAGAATATACGGACACGCCCCACAACTCGGACGAGAATATGGAGGACGTCAAATTCCACATGGAGGTAGTAGACGCCTAGTGCGAGGGCGCGTGGCAGTGCGGCCGCCAGGCGCGAGAGGGCGCTGATGTATAGTGAACGTCGGCTGGGACCTGTGCAATCACCAGAGACGCCAGCACCGGGAGAGACCGGCATGTCCACAGCGACCGGGGCAGGAGGCTGGAGGCAGCCCCAGCGACTGCTCTCCGGCGACGCACCACCGCGCCAGCATCCGCGTGCCTTTCAGCGGCGTGAGACATCTGGCTACCGGTGGTCCGCCCGAACCGTGGCCGGCAGCTGTTGAGCCCAGGCGCGACTACTCCGTCGGCTGCTGGGCTCAGAGGTGGCTCGGTTGGTGCCGCGGAGATCCGCTTTGGCCCTCCGTGGCCTCCTCTCGGCTTAGCCAGGTCCTTCCTCGACCTCCGGGCTGACCCGCTGGACGTCGGCGAGGTCGCCGCGCTAAAGCATAGCTCAAACTATTTTTGGCAGCGCTTGTTGGCGGGAATAGAGTTGGACTTACTGTGGGGTTTGTAGCTCCCCGCCAGGTACGAATGAGTCGAGTGATGTTCGAGGCTTTATCTAGTACACTGTGTTGGGATTGGCTTCTGTGGATAATCTACCAATGTTAGAGAACTCGTGACAGTCGGGCTAGCCGAAAAACGGCCGTGTTGGTTTTGACGAGGCTTCTATCCCACACGTTCAGCGGACCCGTGGCCCACGTGAAGTGATGTAGAGAGATAGACTCGGTTCTAAGGACTGACTCTCGGCAGGCAGCACGGAAGACAAGTCCGATGTGGCGTTGTGATGTAAGTGTTGACGCGTGTTGGCATATTTCGACAAATGCTCAGGAGCATCAGACCTGTGATGATGTGGATGTGTTGCGCGACACCTAGGCTGGAGGCAGAGGAGTTCAGACTTATGTGACCGAGCAGACCAAGCGCATCCCCTGCATACAATTGTCTCCAGGTTTGCCTGAAACGAGAGCTAGAAGTTAGTGTACCCATGGACCTGGCTGCGAGTGGCATGAAGCATTACGCAGGAAAGCTGTGGCTAAAATCATTGCGGTTTTGTGTGACAGGGAGTACGGGCTCCGTCAGATGATGTTTGTGTAGCTGAAGAAGTGTGTTAGGTCTGTCATTTAATACAAAATGGCGACAAATGTCTTCTTGGGTACTTGACACCATTGTGACATTAAAGCAACACGGATCCGTTTGGAAAAACAATATATGCATAAAGTACGTACGCGACTGTTCTTAAACGAATGCACGCAAGGTATGAACTTCGTATGGCAGAACTACGTGCGTGAAAGTTTGTGGCAAAAGCTTGGAAGTAAATGTACTACATGGTATAAAGTACTAATGGGAAATGTTTGTGTTGACAAAAGCTCGTTATGACGAAAAGGTCGTGTGGAAAATTGTTAATGCTTAAAGTACGTACGCGATTGTTCGTAAGCAATGAAACATGCGCAGATGTTCGAAGTGAATACAGTTGGTTTAGCAAAAATACGCACGCAAAGGTTCGTGAATAGTGTGAGCCTAGGAGCGGGGAACTGCTCGTGCGCTCCACTTCCTGGGAATGATGGACACTAAGCTTATGGCGATGCATGGAGGGCATCGACTTCGGCGTGGTGGATGGCGCTTCTTTGGGGAACGCACATGGTAAATCATTCATCAGGGTATGACGTCGTCCACCGGCAGCTGTTACATTTCGCTGAAATTTGGTTTCCATGGATGATCTTAAGTATTAGATCGTCTGAGTAATTTCTAGCGCTATGCTGCGTACGGTTCAATAATAATGCCCTCAGACAGTGTTAGGTCGGCTGCAAAGAGGATCTTAATCAAAGGGATGCATCAAAGCTGGTCCAGCTCGTGCATCACTCTCTCTGGACACCGATTTACTGCATGTAAGCAATCGTATACCCAGTGTCACTGGCGCTTCTGCCCGCCGTATTCCGCGAGCGAGCTGACTCGTCGCGTCCGTCCGTCAGGTGGCGTCAGTGTCGCGTTGAAGCGCGTCAGGGCGAAGTCGTCAAAAAGGACGCCGGTAGAGTGAGGGATAATGGTGGAGCACAACAAACTGGGCGGGACTTTATACAGTGGACTTTTGTGACCTCCAGTCCCCTTCCAACTTAGAGGCATCATGCACAGCCTCCACTGACTCGAGTTTATTTGGTGGTCGCCTCAGACCATCAAGTGGTATCATGAAAAGTTAGATTACTTATGATACTTGACCCGATCTACGTCATGGTCACCGTGTTGCCGTCACTGTCCCCCGCTATCCCCAACGTTGCCCTTCTCTCTCCAATCGACGGGGTGTTTTGGCTCATTCATCATCATTCATCATTCATCATTCAGTGACCATTCATCTGACGCCTGCCACCAAGAATCAAGTCTGCATTCCAACGTTGAAAATCACATGTGCATACGAAGTTTTAGGTAAGTTCTATCGCCAAACGAAATTTACTCTCTTATTTGTAAAATGAACGCCATCCATGAATAGCATTCGCGCTCGAACATTGGTTACAGACAATTGCTTACAACCTTTTTCGATACGTAATTTTGTGCGTACGAACATTTTTGTCACGAACTTTTACCTGACAAGAATTGTTCATGCGATAGTTATCCATTCGAACTTTTGGCATTTCAAACTTTTGCCGCTATAAACTTTTAAGCATACGTACTTAACCCGCTTAATCCTACGAGTACTTACCACACAAGTTTTTCTGCACATGCTTTTGTCCACAGCCAATTAATTGTTAGGGGAGTTAAGGGAAGTTATGCCGAACTACTGAAAAGTTGGTACTGGATCTATGGACGTTGACCGGAGTGAAATAAACAAAAATGGCTATCCGCCTCCCAACTCGAGTGGATGCCAGTGGATAGCGGTTTGTTACTCCTCGTGTTTGTTTGTTTGTTTGTTTCTTCTGCCGTTGTGGTTTGTTTCTTATCATATTATTTCACAACATCAAGAGTATCATGTATTTTTGATTATATTATATGGCTAAATAAATAACAAGACCTAAGAGCCAAGACGCTGCTCCTGCATGTAGAATCTGACGAAATCAGGCCTCCGTCTTCCAGCTGCAGGCCTTCGTGTTCACCTCAGTGACACGGAGAACCATGTTGACGTCCATGAGTTTCAAAGCCTTCGTCTTCCAGCTGCAGGCCTTCGTGTTCACCTCAATGACACGGAGAACCATGTCGACGTCCATGAGTTCCAAAGCGTTCGTCTTCCAGCTGCAGGCCTTCGTGTTCACCTCAATGACGCGAAGAACCGTGTCGATGTCCATGAGCTCCACAGTATATTAAGGTACATGGAACGCCAGAGCGAACGGCCACTGTAACGATATCATTCACGAATACGCTGTCCACGCTCAAAGCCGTGTTCGAGTCGCCCGTATGGGTGGTGATGTACCTCGCAAAGAGTGGACGTGCTCAGGGGCTCGGGTAGGGTGGCACGTATAAACACGTCCTGCTTCCGGATCTTGGTAACTTGCAAGTCCACCTTCATTAAACCAAATCCCGAGGGTGAATCGCATGCCGATCTGCTCATACCACACAATACGGGTGCTGTTAATGGCAGCCTCCAGAAGATCCTTTACTTGCGGAAAAAAAAACTGGGTCGTTCAAGGTATTTATCCTCTCCGAGACATAGGTTCTGTGGCACGGGAGAACACAATTGGGTGGGGCGGGTGCTCTGGAAACTGCGGCCTACTTGAAGGCATAGCACATTACAAGCATGCCTTGTTGCTAAAGGAGATTTGCGTTCGTCGTTGAGAAGCCTGGCCGTTGGGGTAAAGCGAAAGGTAGCTGTTGCGATCCAAATAGCTGCGTTGAGTACGGCGTCAATGATGTATTGATGAGTTTATTCGACTGAGGGGCACTTTTATTAATAAGACAGGTGCAGCCTGATTTGAAACGGATCATGCAGCGGTAAAAAATCCAGTAAGATATTCTGACTACCCATGCGATGTTATTGCCATACATTTTAAAATGTTTAATGGTTTTCAAAAAAAAATTGTCACGCAGTGTTTTTAAATGCATTCTGTTCACTGTTGGACTGTTAAATCGCACCCCCAGTCATCAAGCGAATGACGTTTTGAAAAGTCCACTGTCAGTAAAACAGCCAGACACCTGAGCCCTCCCATTTGGACCCTTCCATCAGCGTGTGCTGCAGTGCGCAGCAACGGTCTCAGCGGCAGAAAGCGTTTCCGATTAGGAGAGAACACACATACACGTAAAACGGGGCGTAGCCGACTTGTCAAAGGGAAAGATGAGTAAGGATTGAATATGGAGCATGAACGTCGTGAGCCACGGGCCGACAAAGTTCCAAGGAAAACTGCTAATACACTAAAAAGTATGTTTCTCCAGTTGAGCTTCAACACGACGCGGCATATCCAATTTATCGGAGGCAAATAAGTATGGCTCATGTGGTTCTCAAAGTCGTAATTCACTGGTCAACAGTAGTCAAACTGTTAATTTCTGACACTTTGGAATGGTGTGTTTGTCGCTCAAATTGCGCTTAAAGAAGGTTGCTCTGGCATGGCAAGGCGAGTTAAAAAAAAATTGATCTGCTTTTTATAATTAGGTTGGTAAAAATGGTAGCATGGCTGGCTTTTAGCATCTAAAATGGCTGTCAGCATCTAAAAATGGACAATCTTTAACTTTCTTGACCAGTGGGTCGGTGCGCTCATAACCTACGTATCCCATATCCTTCCAGTAATATATATATATATATATATATATATATATATATATATATATATATATATATATATATCCTTGTAGTATTCTTGTATTGAATTGCGTGGGCTGCGTCGAATGGTGCATTTTTTGTTGGAATTTGAATGGAGGCAGGTGTTGCTAGCACCTGTCATCGGCACGCTCCAAAACTGACCGAATTTGAACCATGTTGACCCGCAGTGGCGTATTTGGGGAGAGAGACATGGTTCTGTCGTTGGGTGCCGAGGGCGTCCCAGTATGGGCTACGACTGCTGGCCAATAAGGCACCCTATTGTCCAGGGTCTCGCCACGGCCAGCACTTTTGGCAGGGATGTCACTTTGTGTGTTCAGAGGGGGGGGGGGGGCGTGGGGCAGCCCCGCACGCACTACAATGCTGGCTCGAGCCCCCTTAACGCTCTTCTGACCCTCCCCCCGATGCACATGAGAAGAAAATAGTGGGCCGATGAAATGCAGCAATTGTCTGAGGGCTTGCACATTAGGCTGATCCCTCAGTCATAGAGAATGCTCCACATTTGAAGACATCTAAGTTATAGTATCCTCACATGTTAATGCAACTTCTCCCTTAGTAAATATGTTCCTTAATACGCCACTGTTTCATTGAGCCCTCGTGCCTTGCATAATGTTGATTGGGAGCCATTTGATGGCCGTTTTATCTGGAACTGGTGTTCACATACGCCAGGTAGGAGTGACTCGACAATTATATTTTATTGGTCTTGACCGCCTCATGGCCAATGAAATGTCCTAATTTAAATGGCGTTATTATGGTGCCATTGGATGTCAGGGTGCCTCGAAATAGCATGCAAGTAAAAGTTTGCCTATTTTCGCGGGTGTATAGCTCAGAAATTAGAAGGGCTGCGGTCTTAGGAGTGGTAGGGCTGTGAGCTGCACCAAATAATCCCCAAAGTGGCTGGTTCAGTTTAAAATCCTATTAAGATGCCGAGCACTCACTTTAAAAAGGGAATTGCTTTGTACCGCAGGGAATTATCTTGAAAATAGCTATCAATTCAAAACCCTATGCAAATGTGGAATAGTCCCTGTAACACATGGTTCTAAAGTAACGGTCTTGGATACACCTCTAAAACTGATTTTTCCAAAAAATAACTGATCAAGCTTAGTGAAAAACTTCATACAATCACAAATGACCAGAGGATGTATTTCGGATGTAAATAAACATTTTTCTACAATCTAGATAAGATCCTACATCCGCGGTGTGTTTACGTGTTTAGTGTCAATTGTTCAAAAATTCCTAATTTGCTTGCCGCGTCTCGAAGTGCATTCGGTGTCATTGTTACAATTTCGGCGTTCTTGCGTTGTTTGCACTCCAGGTAGGGCCTAATGCCTGTAAGCGGAGAACGGCATTGTTTGCAGCAAAGGCTTGGGGCGGTTTGGAACGTTAATTGGTAGTGGGTGAGCGTGCGGCACTTCATATACTATTATTAACTTTTGCAGGTGAGATGGCAACAAGGTGACAAGGCTCGGGCGGTCACTTTGTTGTTATGTCGGCACGTGAACGAGGCTATTTGATTTCTATCAACGTTGCTGTTGCTTGGTTTTGGACGCGATCACGTTAGGGCGGCGGACTAGGACACAGAGAACCACCTATAAACGGTTGATTACATGATAAATCAAGAATTACTTGTGTGTAAACCTTGGCATACAGACATCTCTGTCCAATATACTGAAAGCTGACTGTGGCCATAGGTGTAAACATGTCCAGAAAATGTGGGGCTTATTTGAATTTTGTGATGATCCACACCATATATTGTGATAAAGCTGAAATAATATGTTGTCTAAAGGTGAGTTATCATACCCTGTGTCTATTTGTCAAAAGCTATGATTTAGTGGACTAGGTGTAACACATCTCCCATATTGGGGTGAGTTTACCACATATTTGTCAAGGTTTGGGCAATGGGCTTGGTTACACCCAATCAAAGCATCTCCATTATGCAGGGGTAAGATTTTATTAGTCTTGGATTCAATTTAGATTAGATTGGTTGCTATAACTCTGAGCACTTGGAGTTTGGTGCATGGTCCTGCCATTTTCAGTACATATGTTCAAAGCAAATGCTTCAAGAAGTTACACTGTTGCAAAGGTATCTTTCTGCAGAGATGCTCCTGAAGTTTTTCCATTCAAAAATAATTTTAAAAGTTTGTGTGGTTTGGCCTGGTTTGGTTGGGTACATGCATGAGGGGCAGCACACAGATGTCACATAGGAATTCAGCACAGTGGAGGGATGCTTGGAGGGGGGTGCAAAATTATCTTAGTAGTTGGTGCACCCTAAAACCTTAACCATCATCACAGGATTGAGAAGGATGGACATGCAAAGTTTATGGATGTCCAACTTAGTTAGTCTTTTCGAAGGTAACTATGCATGCAGCAGGAAGGGTTATGTAGTCTTTGGCAGATGTTTTACCAACTTTTCAATGGCACTATAACATAAACCTTTGTGTTGCTCATAAAAGTGTTGGTACATGGTATGTGTGGTTGTCAAGCCACCCAGTGTGGTGTCATAATTTTCCTTTAACATTTAGACTCAACTATGCAATGACATATTGGGCATTCTCCTTTGCCATGTTATATCGATATGTGCACTCATTTGGCATGATGAGCATGAAAACACAACTAGATTATTAGTAGCAGGATCATCATCGTTGATTGACTGTTACAGATTGTAAGTTAGTTATGGAAGGCCATGAAGGTGTGTTTCCATTCATTTGTTTTCCAGGCAATGCTGCTCTTTTCAGTTAGGAAATAATGGCATTACATGTAGCCAAAGACCAATCAGAGCAGGTTAATACCCAGATCTCTCTTAACCCAAACAATAATAGCATCCAGCAGGATCAAGGCATTGGTATGGAAACTTAGTAGGACTTACTTTTACAAGTAACCATTGGTCAATCAGCAATTATAAACCTGCATAGGCAGATAAGTAATGTTAGGTGGCTCATTTCATTACTTTGTTGGGGGTCTCAACTGATAAGGTTGACCTACCTTATCCCCAATTATAAATCATTGCTTGGTTTCAGCTGCTTTAACTGTGCTCAATGTAAAAACCCTAATTTAGAGGATTCAAGAATGCTTCAACTGCGGTGAAGTGACTCCATTGTGAGCCAATGTGGAGCTGCAGTTTTATGAACGTCCTTAAGTGCATGCACCTCATAGAAATATCTTAATGAAATATTCTGATATGATCAACAAACATAAATCTCAAAGACCATTAATCAAAGGCAGTCTGACCACAAAAAGGTGGTTTCATGGATGAATGGCTTTTAGTTAGAAATATGTGGCCTGGTAAACATAGACAAAAAGATATGGATGATGTCGCCTCTGTCAGTATATAATATTTCTAAAAGTGAAACTAAACTTCCATGGCCTCAACAGATATGTTGCTAACTGGAAGTACTCAGTAAGGTGAAAGCTGGTGACCAGACAGGTCATCAGAACAGCTGCCTTAAGAATGAGTGTAACCAGCACTTTGGTACGAGCTCAAAGTTGATGGATGAAAGAAAGTACATATCCACCCAGTGTTTCTATTTTATGATTTTGGGGTACTTAAGGTAAAAATAATCATTGATGGTAAGCCAGGAGGCCAGAGATACTGGCTGAACAGCATTTGTATGCAGATTTGAGTATTTTGAGAAAACTTGATGTTTCAGTGAGTCCCAGTGATAAGATTTCTTGGCAAAAATTAATGAACACAATCCCAGCATTTCTTTTGCTCTATACCATGCCACACAAGATATGTAAAATCAACCTCTTGTTGCCCTTTTTGTGGTACAACCAGTGAGAAAATATACCACTGAACACTACTTGAAACCCGTGGTCGCATTGTAAGGCATTTTCTGCTCTTAGTTGTGTCACACGGACTGTGCTAACATATCTCTTATTTTCCGTGGGAATAGGTACCCGGAACACAGGGTGAAGTCTTCCGCCTGAACCGCACGTTCTGGAACAAAACACATCAGGTTCGTGAAGAAGTTGTAGGGCAGTGAGCGTTATGCGGAAGTGGGGCTTTATGACACACTCAGCTGCTGACGGCTGTATGGTGCTGCTTGCCTCTCACCCTGGCCGGAAGGGCGGGAACCGCGGAGAATCGAACCCCGTACCTCTGGTTTTCCAGACGCGCAGTGGTTAGCGCAGGCGCGTTAACCACTGCACTGTCGGCGCCCATTACAGGGAAGTGAGACAACCAAATTGCGTCCATGTGAAACTCCCGAAATGACAAACTGTGTGTACAGGTGAATGCTGTTATACAATCGCGTGGCTTGCACGGCTTTGGGATAGCAGTGACCTAATTCAATGTCCGTGCTTGTTCGATTAGCCTTCAAGACACCTAGCGTGTCTCAGCTAAGATAAGGGTGTGCTACGCTCGTGTCAAGTGCCCTGAAAGGGACAGACGAGAACAGACGAGACAGACGAGCAGACGAACAGAGCGAACAGACGAACAGAGCGGAACAGACGAGTGTATCATTTAAGAGCCCTTTAAATATGTGCCCAGAGATAACTCAAGTAGGAAAAATACAACGTAGCGTTCTTCTGCCGTTTCATTCAGGCGCCTTGGAGACGTGCGTTGGCGGAGAGCGTGTATGGGGGAACGTACGGTAGCCTGCCTCAGGGACGTAGGCAAAGGGGATGGCCAAGGGAGACGCCCCTCCCTCCTCAGCCCAGCGGTTTACGCCAGATGCTGGTCGGTATCACAGGAACTTGGTCCCAAAGGTTGAAAGAGGACAAAATGTGTACCGTAACGTATGAACAGGCCCTTAAGGACCTTCTGGGTACTTCCTGGGTACTTCCTGGGTGGTACGAAGTTAAGGTGGGCCTAGTAGCGATTTTGTATCTGATGAACCAACAGCTCAGGAACGTTGCCTGCATTTTTTTGGCTCAGTATTCCCGTTTTCCCGCATGCACTGCGAGAGGGGGGGGGGGGGGGGGCAGAGGAGCATTGTCAACGAAGGGGTGCCCGGGGCCCCGAAAGTAAGAAAAGTGACGTCCGGGGTCAGTTTGATCCCCTAACCTAACAGCATTATTGTTACCTAGCGTGGCATTAGCAGCCGCACCGAGAACATCAGTTCACGAGCAGGGCCGCCCCGCGTCCCCGCGGGAAGAAGCGACGCCATTGATGCCTGAAGTGCTGCCGCCTAGGGCGTAATATCATCTCATGTACCGACAATTTAATGTGGATCTCAGTTGACATGTCCGGGCTGTCCAGCAGTTATGGACATCCGGGCCCAATGTCGTTGTAACGATGTCCTGCGCATCGCAACACCGGATAAATTTCAGTTTACACGCGCGTGAATGGGCTGTCTCCTGCCAATGGGTGTGTCAATTCCGTCACTACACAGACTTTTTGGTTTGTTTTCGCGGCTTGGCCCTGACGCGTTTTGTTTATCCTTGCAACCTGTGGTTTATACTCGCAATGCACTTGTGTGACGGTGGTACCCACAAGCTTATGTTTACCACGTTTCATTAACTCACATGTGCTTATAGTGTCCTACATGTGAGCTAGTGCCCCTGGCTGCTCGAATTGAAGGCGTCAACTACTCCTGTGAGCAGCCAGTCGGTGGGTATAATTCCTGGTACGACCCACAGATTTCATTAGAGGTCTCTGCCAATACCAGGACCCTGGGACCGTCTGCATAGGCCGTGGACGGCACAATACTGAAAACGAAATGTTTGGGAAAAATCAGACAGTTTGAACCGCGTGCTTCAAACCGTTTCGGAAAAACAGCGAAAAACTTCAGGAGGACGCCAGTCTGCCTGCATAGTGTCAAGGACCTAAAGCCGCCTGTACCCTGTTCGTTTGAAGGGCCCTCGGGCATATCGCACAGTCCCGTGGACGGCAGTTCGTACAGCAGCGCAGCCCTGCGCAGAGAGCGTAGCCAACTGTCATCACTCCTCGCGCGTCGACGGCCAAGAGCCTTCGCGAGGGTGGTGAAAGCGGAGTTTCGAGTTTCCCTGGAGTTGAGGGGCGAGGGCCCACGGTTTGCCTGTGCTGCAAATTTTGTGGAGGATATTTAGAAAATGCAATGTGTACACTAGCTCGTTCGTGTCCGGTTGTGTCCGGTTGTTTTCCATTTGCTGCCCGTGTAAACTGCCAGAAATATTGCATATTCCTGTGTGGGTGTTCGTTCGTAGTAAAACAATTGACTTCTCAGAAGTTTTGGCTGCTTACGGTGTCAACAGCTCGATCTCAATCAAATGCCAGAGACTGAGGGCCTTCCTCGCTCAGTGACACCGAAATTAGCATCATCATTGAGCAAGGAAGGCCTTCAGCTCCTGGTGTCCTGGTTTCCATGCGCGAGTTCCCATGTTGAGAATGGACGAAAATGCATAAAGATGATATATATGTATATACAAGTAATGAAAAATACGACTAAAATTGGTAGGTTTGTATTCAATAAAAGCTGCCGTTTGGTGGCAGTGCTTATGAGAACCGTTTTATAAAGCTGGTTAATCAGTGCCTCATAGCAAATTTGAGGTAGATAATATTGAACAAGAAGTGGTTATCAGTTTTCAAATTTCAGATTTCACCTTGGATCAATCAAACTTTGCATGGTGGTTTGCTCCACTCTGTCTTCCGCTGGGGTCAGGTACAATTCAGAGCAAGTCTGTTGCAAGACAAGGTTCATAGAGCTCTGATACGGGATCTGCTGGCAGTCATCGGCGGGAATTGTTGCTGCCTGTATGCCTGCGTAGTTACTGTGCATTAACCAGATGGCGTCCTGCCTCAGTATCCGGTAGGTGGCAGTGCAGTTCACGTACGTGCCAGCTCTGCCCTGTCCCTCTGGCGGGTTTCTGTCACCGTCTCTGTTTCTGCTTGGCAGCACCATGATGCAAACGGCGACCAGCTATGCGGCTCCTCTGCCGGAGTGGCTCTCGGCTGAACACGACATGGGTGTGAGTAACACGGTTTGCGCAAACGCGATGCTGTTGAACTGTGAGTGCGCATTGCGAATGATACCCAGTTACATCATCGTGGTTGTCGAAGCCTGTGTGCCGCAGTAAAACATTGCTCATCGTCGAAATGGATGGAGGCTCGCGGCTTAAATGAGCTATTGTTATACGCTTGTGCTTCACTTGAGTAAGCGTCCAGATACCATAACGTCTGACATCTCTTCACAGTCTCCGTATTTGCGCAATCACAACATGGCGGCACATGTTGTGCATTTCCGTGATGTGGTACATAGCCCCACGTGCTGGCCGCCTCCGCCGACTGCGGCGCGCAGTCGACGGCCGTGCCGGTGTTCGGGGAAGCTGACCCCGTGCTGTGCCGCAGACGACGCTGGTGGCGGCCGAGTTCCCCGGCGGCGTGGTGATCGGCGCCGACTCGCGCACCTCCACCGGGTGAGCACCGCCCACCAACTGCCGCCCACGGGCCGGCGGCGCCGGGGCCGTGCCGGCGACCCGCACTGGCAGCCGCCCCGGCCGCTGATAACCGCCGGCTGGTGCCGAGATGTCACACCTGAGGCGTCACTTTGCATACCTTCGCGGTGGCCTGACCCCTCCCCTAATGTTCCTCTGAGCACTTCCAATTCATATTAGCAAACGACCATATATATATATATATATATATATATATATATATATATATATATATATATATATATATATATATTGTGTGTGTGTGTGTCTGTGTGTGTAACTAGACATAAAGTGTATATGGGTATATTGTGGGCCAAATAGAGGCAGAAAAATATCAACTCTTAGTACATCAGGTGCATAGGCACAGCACCACTTGTATCATCCTGTGATGTCCGTCCGTCCGTTGTCCGCTCCGATGGCTCGCTGTCCGTCCCGATGGCTTTAGTTGGTTAGTGCTTGGTTTTTTTAGACTAGATGAAAAGTTGATCTCTGCTTCTGATCAATTTCATGAGAACAAATCACTTTACTCGAAGCCTTCCGGAAATCTAAGTTTTCTTACAGCCAACGTGAATGGACTTTGTACAACCACTAAGCAAGCTGAGCTTGGCATGATGTTGCACAAGTATAAGATAGGTGTAGCAATAATCACAGAAACCCATCTAGGCAAGACCGTCCATGACAACCAAATTTTCCAAGCTGGATATGAAGTACTACGACGTGACAGGAACTTATTGTCGGTCAACAAAAGTAAAGGTGGAGGAGTCCCCATATACATGAAAAATAACTTACCATACACAGAGCCCAAAATTGAAGTCCCGGACGAGCTGGAAGATGCTGGAGCATCATTCGACCTTTGCAACCCAACAGCATCATAATAGCTGGAGTTTACCTCCCTCCTGATGCATCAGACTGTCGCCGGAAAATGCTATCTGACCACCTTCTGGAAACACTTGATTGTCTTCTATGCTCAAGGACAAGAGCAAAAACTGTATTGGTAGGAGACTTAAACAGAACTTTTGATGCAGAACTGTTAGCACGTCAACTGGGTCTATTGCAAATAGTTACGGAACCCACAAGAGGTTCAGCCGTACTGGACAAGATACTGACTGATTTCGATTCTCCAAGCGCGCCACTAAACCTATCACCCATTGGCACGACAGACCACAAAACTATCGTATGGTTGACTGCAAAACAAGTAGAACGATCTCAAGGCCATTGCATGGTACGGCCTTTGAAGGACTTATCCATCAGAAGTTTTGGCAGATTGATTTGATGCCAGGACTGGCAAGATATAATAGCAATAAATGATATAGACCAAGCTGCTGCTTGACTAGAACTGCTACTTCAAATGCTTATGAGGAGCACTTCCCTGAAATTAAATACAAATGCAAGACAAGTGAGCCGCAGTGGATAACAAAGCGCATCAAATAACTGATAAACAGACGCAATAGGGCGCACAGCCGTCATCAAATGGA